TAGAAAATGAAATAAAATGTGAAAAAGATAATAATGACACTGTTTCTAGAAAAAGACGCAAAGACAGAAAAAGTAACAAAAACTGAAAAAATATTCATGAACTAGAACAAAAACAAGATACAAACAAAACCAGAAACAGATTAGAAGAAAAAAAATCAATGAAAGGAGGCCTACTTCAAGAAGTTGTGATAAAAATTTTAAAGTACAGGCTAAAATAATACAAGCATCCATTAGGCTTTTCCTTTACAACACACAATGCTAAACTAACCTCAAACAATGGAGCTTGTCCTACTACATTTTCAGGAAACCCAAATACTAAACCCAGCTAACGATTACCTCTGTCATGATAATTAGAATGTCCCATTCTCAGTATGGGAAACTCATGAAAACTATAACCTCCATGAGTACTTAATACATTAAGATGTACTCTGAGAAGTAAGAAAAGATCCAGAACTTAAGAATTAACTAGGAAATTCTGTTATAAAGGGAAGAATAAGTGAAACTGAGTAAGTTGAGAGTGTATCTGTTGTTCATATTTTATAAAGCTAACTGAAAACATAAGTTTTTTTTAAAACAGTGACAAATTTTAACCACAACCTTGTCTTAGAAACCAAGACTATCGAAAACCTCTATATGGAATATTCAAATGTATTGTTTTGTTCGTAATTTTGAAAATTGTAGAAATAGAGAATACTTTTTAAAAACCTGAAGAGAATCCTTGGTAAAAAACCAATAAACATAAAAAAAGTAAAACATAAAATGAGATGAGCTCAATTAGACCTTGAATAATTAAACAATAAATTTAATTAAACAATAAATTTATAACAATAGATGTAAATTGCTAGCTTTTCTTAGACTCCAAGACAGTATTTTTAAAATTTACAATAAAACAAAGTGCTGACATTAGGTTTATGTTAAAAGTAGGTTCACACATATACACTAGTGTAGTGTGTTTATCCAGAAACTATAAACAAAAGTAGCAGATTACTAACATCAGACAAGAATACTTAAAAATCTTCAAGGCAGCCCTGGCTGGGTGGCTCGGTTGGCTGGAGCATCACCATCCCATACACCGTAAGGTTGTGATTCCCAGTCAGGGCACGTATTTAGGTTGCGGGTTCGATCCCTGGTCAGGGAGCATATGGGAGACAGCCAATCGATGTTTCTCTCTCATAGAGTGTTTCTCTCTTTGTCTCTCTCAAATCAATAAAAACATATCCTCGGGTGAGGATTAAAAAGAAACCTTTTAAGTCAAATTTTATGTGCTTTTAATGTAACATTGAAATAGACCATCAAAGCTGTTTGAGGTGTGATTTTACTAAATGGCTCTGTTTTCCAAGTTAAATAGGAAAAATTAATAAGGATAGAGAAGGTATAAAACACATACTACCACTTTTGTCACAAATATCCATATTAGTCTATAACAAAAACATTACCTTAAAAAATCAAAACATGTAAAAACAATATTATCTGACCACAATGTTAAAAAAACATTAAATTAATGCAAAAACTTACAAATTAAAAACGTTTTCCTCAATTATTCAAGTCAAAGAGAAAATGAAAATGGTAAAAATGAAAAATACAGACTATTTGCAAAATAATGACAAGAAGAATGTACATTTAAACTAAAATAAAAGATGTGGTCAAAGGCCTAATGAGAGAGAGATTCATAGTTTTAAGTGTTTTTGTATTTAAACAATAAGGTATTACAATAAACTAAGTGTATATTGCAAGAAGTTAGAATAAAAGAAATTAAACATTCCTAAGGATAACAGGATGCTGGAATTAATTAAAAAAAAAAAATAAAGGTAGAAATGACTAAATTAAGTAGGGGAAAACATCCAGTTTAGTACAATATAGCAAACTAACAAAAGGTATGTATTACCTCTCCTGAATTCAACTTTGGAGATGCCAAAAGCGAAAAAAAGGAACACTGATGGGCTTCAGGGTCTCATTCATCAATTAACAAAAAGCTTGTGAGAAACTCTAAAGCACAGAACACAGATGTTTCGGGGGAAAATGCAGATCTGGAGCAGGAAAATGTCAGCAACCAGGAATGGGAGTCAACAATCAAATCTTTCTCAGGTGACCCAGGTAAGCCTGCATCTGGAGGTAAATCAGGGATAATTTATTCTGTCACCCTGAAGTTTGGATATCTTGGCTACTAACTTAACCTTCCGCTCCATGTGGTAAGGTAGCAGCACTAGAACAATGGTGAATTAACATCAGGGCAGTACTGAAATCCCATTAAAGCTGGAAAGAAGTATAGGTGAGTAGGAACTACTTATTTTGTAAAAGGCATACGTATAAATATATTTAACAAAAATTCTGGAAATACAAAAAAAATTGGAGAGAAAAAAAATTGGTAGATGAAAGTATGCTATGGCTATTATTTTGTTAAATGGTAATGACGTAGCTATTGCTCTCTTCTGTATTGCTAGGAGAAAACAACAAGGCTAAGTAAGAGTTACTTGGGGGAAATCTCTAGAAAAATAGAATAAAATATTTAACTTTCACGTAGCAGATGAAAACTTTATGTATCTAACGACAAGTAGGTAAAAAGATTAAAAAATAAAACAAGCAGCATGGAAATTGTAAAATATGAAATAATTCAGATTTAAGTTCTAATATTAAAGAGATTAAAGTAAATATAAATGGGTTAAACTCACCAATTAACTGACAAAGACTCCCACTGTAGTAAAAAGGTAAGATTTAGGAATAGGTTGGCTAAAGAAAAAAGATTGGAATAAAAAGATACAGAATGACTAAAAACAAAAAAATATAGGAAACAGATGCTGTGAAACAAATATGAAGCAAAAGAAAAGCAGTGTTAAATTTTTACTATCAGATAAAACAGAATTTGGGGTAAAATGCATCATAAGGTACAACAGAGGTGCTACAATAAATCATGAAGTAACAATCCTGAACATACATGCACATAACAACAAAGATTTAAAATATATAAGACTATAATTGATAGATTAAAAAAAACTGTAGCTTTTGATTTAACATATGCTTTTAAGAATTATTTGATAAGACAAACTGCAAGCTATGTTATAGAAAAATGTGTGTTTGTATTGTCAATCTTATATAAATGAAAAATATATATAAATTTCATACCCAAACAGAATATGAGTGCTTTTAGCATACACAAGGAATATTTAAATAAACCTGCTTATGAAAAGCTACAAAAGTTTGTAAAATTCTAAACAGCCATCATATGGAATATCTTTTCTGACCAGTGAGTGATGAAATTAGAACCCAATAACCAAAGAATAGCAAAATAAAGTTCCGTATGTCTAGAAAGTAAAGTATTTCACTAAAAAATTTTTGTTAAAGAGGAAATCCCAAGACAAAATAGATCTAAGTGACAATGGCATTCTAAATGTAAAAAGTTGTGATGTGTAGCTAAAACAATATTCAGAAAAAAATATAGCTTCACATATATTTAAAGATGCAAGAGTTATCAAAAATAAATGTAGTAAGCACAGCTGAATAATACCAAGAAAGGATGACAAATAAATATATTGGTAGGAAATAGTAAGATAAGCATTTTTTAATTTAAAAAGAGGAAGTAGGAATGTAAAAATAATATTACAGACAAAATTCTAGAAAAAAACAACTACAACCTGAAAATATTCAAATAAAGAAAATAAAAAAAAAAAAAGGGTAATTACAGATATTAAAGATTTCAATACTTTAAAATTATATTATAAACATATGTTAATAAATATGAATGCCTACGAAATACATTGAGAAGAGTATTCTTGAGAAACGCAAATTATCAAAATTGGCCCAAGAAAAACTTGAATAGAATAATAGCTATTATAAAAGGTATTTATAATCTTCCTCCACAAAGGCATTGATGGTTTCATAGTTGAGTAATGACAAACTTTCAGGGAACAGTAATTTCTACCTTATGAAAGTTATTAAGTCTCCCTTATTAAAGTCTACATCAAGGTCAGCAACCATTTTCTGTAAAAGATCAGAAAGCAAATAACTTAGGATTTTCAGACCACGTGGTCTCTGTACCACTACTCAACTTTGCTGTCGTTGCAAGAAAGAGCTACAAACAATAAATAAATGGATGTCCATGGCTGTGTTTGAATAAAACTTTACAAAAAAAGGCAGTGGGTTAGATTTGGCCGATGGGTTGCAGTCTACTGACCCCTGGTCTAGACCATGCAGTTGTCCACACAATGGTGAACACTTCAAATAATATTTACAGAGCACAGAGTCCTTGGCTCAATTCAGAAAATGAAGGATATAACTTTCCATATACTACTTCTGCTGTTTAGACTTTAGCTTCCATAAAAGAATGTGGGCCCTACTTCCAGCTCACTTATCTACCAAATAGTAGGGGCCATACTCACCTGGCAACATGAAAGAGTTATATTATAGGCTTTTGCCAGAGTATATATACTACCTTGACTTGACTTCGTCAAAGTTGGATTGAGAGTTATAACACTCACGGAAGATTTCTTAAAGAACAAGGTCCATCCACTTTTCTAGATAATCTTTATTTTTGGGCCCAATCAGAGCCATGGAGAAACAGGTACCTAGACTGCACTTGTTCCTTGCACTCAGCCACTTCCTGCAGAACTTTATTTCTCCACAGTGCTCTTTGGTTTGAAGATATCAGTTAATCTAGAAGGTCCCAAGACAGGCATTGCATAAGGGAATTCTGAGCTTTGTGATCATTATACTATAGTGTACTTCACTGTACTGAGACATTCACATCTGATTTAGAACTAGGAATACGTGTAAATTATCTGAAAAACCCATGTATTTGGCCGCAAGGACTCTGTGAACTATATAAATGGAAACGGTCCAACCTGAGTAACAGTAATAGGTGGAAGAGAAATGGGCACTCTCAACACATAAACACATCTCTGTATCAACAAGAAAAGCCATTCTGGTTGCAACTTTTCAAACAAATATATGTACTTAATAATGAAATGGACAGGTGTAGAAAAATATTTTGAGGATCAGCAGCTTACCTCTTTGAACTTGTGACTGAGCTTGGTTGTGTCCAGGTCTGAAGGGGAAAACATGTCCTCATTCTCAGGCAGTTCAAAGACTTCAATGGCCATGTCACCGCCAGGGAGAGCAGGTCCTGCCTCATCTTCTTCTTCATCTGTGGCATATTCTCCTGTCTGAAAGGAAGGGGATTTCAGAAGTCTAGCTGTCCATGCCCCAGATAGAGATGGGTTATTTGAAAGTATTTTATAAAAGAGAAATAAAACATCACCAAATGGTAAAAGTGTAAGTAGGTTTGTAAGTCAAGCATGCCTCATGCAGCCCATGTTACAAACAAATGTTAGTTCAAAGACTCAACGTGACGTGTCTATGCCACGTGTAAGCGCATTTCTGGAAAGCTAACAGCATCAGCAGCATCTTTAGTAAAGCCACAAGAGTTGTTTTCAACCTAAGTATTGGATGGTTTTATTGAATAAAATTATGTCACAAAGGGAAATAATTCCTTTAAATTCTCACCACCTGGAAGAATAAGTCACCTGATACTAGAAGCAGGGAAGAAGGGGAGAGCAAAGATTTGCAGAGTTGGAAGGGACCTTAATTAAGCCCTTCAAAAGTTTAGTAGATGAATTCACCTAGGCTTTAGAATTCAATCAGGTCTGTTTCATATATTTAACTAATGTGATTAACTAGTGACCTAAAGGATAATACACAGGTTTTTAAATTTACAGCCCACACAAAACATAAGTGTATTGTTTTGCCTGCAGAGTACTCTGATAAATCTTAGTATTTTGTGAATGTTAAAAATTTTTTTACATAATATTCTATATTTCCAGTTCTTCTTGAGAAAGCCAGTGATCTGGCAACACAGGCAGACTGGGACATGGTAACAGCTGGGCAGTCAGCAGCAGTCGCCCTTTTAAGCTGGGTCACACTTTCTAATATGACGTCTATAACTCCATATTGTTCTATGCTGTTAGCACCCCTCCTTCACAACACCCGTAGGCTCCTGAAGGTATCCGAGTTCATGACCCCTGGAATAAATGTTCCTCCTCACTACTGACCTCCTTAACATTATTAGAAGGCAGCTCTGCTCCTGGCAACATCAGGCTGTGAGACACTAATTCAAAATAACTGTTTGAAATCTATATCCTATGATATAACTTAAAGATAAATCACTGATTCACAGGGTTGATAAAGTTCATTTACGTCACCTCTGTTCCTTCAGGTAGTTCTATCAAATACATAAAACAGATAGGAATTCATACTGCCTTTAAAAAACTTTCATAAACAGTGTACTGAATGACCTATTCCTTTGATTAAATAGGATTAGTGTCTGATGGCTGTTTTTCTTGTTTTTTTGTTTGTTCTGTACTATGTTCTTGCTAGGGCTGAAACTCTATTTCTTTTACTATGTTTGCATATGAAGGAAATCTGGTCATTAACCTCAATATAATAATTCCTCAGGTCTGGAAGACCATTATTACATTGCGATTCTGACATCTATCTCCTTTTTAAGTAAAACAATTCCAGTTTTCTCATTCTCTGCGACTGTCTTTGAACTAGTTGGTTCTAGATAGCTTCCACTTGTTGCTCTAATTAGATCCTACAAATCTTAAAAGAACTCTAATTCTAGATTTGATATGTTTTCCTGTGATATTCTGTAAATTAGTTCATCTCCAATTTATATATATATTTAGAACCAACAGGTACTTTGTAAATCCAGCTGATGTTAATCAGTAGGAATGTAGCAGGGCTGGTCCGTACACAATCTCAAGATACCTTGCTGAGAGTTTTGATTTAGAGAGAAAACCCTTGTTTTTAACCCTATAATTATAACCAGCAACACAGCCACATTTTATTATGAAGGCCTAAACCAGGTATGTAAAATTTACTCCTGTATCATCCATTTGATGAATATCATGAATGACTCAATAAAACCTTAAGCTAAATTTAAAGTCGGACAACAGTGTGGCACATTTCAAACATAAGAGTTGAAATGTACAATTGGATATTCCTTTGCCAGAGTGAAAATACGTTCCTCTTCACTATGGGCAAGGTAAAAAGTATAAATACTCAACCCCTATGTGTCCAGGATGGGGCCTGACACATAACGGGATCTCAACAAATATTTTTAAAAGAATAAACCCAAGAATGCCAATTGCACTTACTTGGTGATATCTATAACCCCCTTAGGAGGTTTGCAGTAATGTCAAGAACATGCTCTGCAAAGCCACTTGTTAAGAAGAGAGCATTTTGTCGCATTTACTTTTTAACACTCCTTGTACTGAATAAGGGGATTAGGGTATACGCAATATATGCCATTCTTACCTCCAAACATAGTTCTGGCTTTGATATGCACTTTAGTTATCAAAATTATCTTCATAAATGTAAGTTCCTAAGAAGCCTTCCTCTTGATTCTCTTATTTTTTGACTTTGCCAGTTTTCTTTCCATCTCAATATCCAAATCACCTGCAATTCTACTAAAATTCTTTTTATTTTTCATTTCATCTTTTCCCCTACTGTTTCTCTCTCTAATTAGTCTTTTAAGCATGTTGAGAATAAGCTATGTCTTTTACTGTCTTGATTATACTCATTACTTATTAGAGACTCTGGACAGGGTGTTTAAAAGCTTATGTCACCGCTCTCTCTCGCTGATCATTCACCATTCCCATCCTGAACAGGCTTCAGAATAAAGGCCGCATTTACTACAGAGCCTTGCAGACACCTAGAAGTTAAGGAGTTACATCTAGTAGACTAAGAATAATATGTTCTTCTGATTCTTTTTTCTTTATGGAAAATGAACATTACTTTTATGGTTAATCTGCAAGTAAAATAAATTACATAGAATGATGTGTCACAGAATGTCATAAACCTCAAAATTAGATGGGACTGAATGTGACACAGAGGATGAAGGACAATGCTATAAAAAAATGCAACTGCTACAACAAAGTATTTCCACTGGTATCCAGTTCCTTATCTTTGTTTCTGGCCAGATTCAACATCTTTCGTAAACAGAGACTCTTGAAAGATCTTTGTCCCAACCTGCAAATCCACTTTAAATGAGGCTAGCACAGTTCTTCGTGCAAGGAGTGACAGGCAGTAAACGTTCCTCTCCACCTCCTTCCCTGCCTTGAACAATTATTTCGTAACTTACTGCGTGCCCAACACTGTACATTTCCCAAAAACTCTATGATGTAGGTATTGCCATGCCATCTTAATTTGAAGAAGCTCAGACTCAGAGACTTTACCCAAGTCAGACAATGAGTCATGTTCTTGAAGCTACATCTAACATATTCCAAAGCCCATGCTCTTTTTCCTGTGCTATGCTGCCTATAGTCAACACTAGCTAAAGCTTTGCAGATAAAAAAACAGAAATACATTCCTTCCATATTTCCCAGCCAAAGCCCTGGTGCATAATCCTGTTGTGCTGAGATTCCCCTTCCACATCTTTGAAGGTTATCATTCAATTCACTTTGAAGACTTGAAGGGTGTCTCTAGTGAGCTCCAAAGTTCTTAGCCTCTTCTTTTCTCTCATAACATGCTCACCGTGGGCACGTGCATAGAAATCTCCTTCAAAAGATTTGGCTTATGGGTGGGTTGACTGATGTTCCATGCACTCTTTCTTATACAAACCAGAACCATAGCATAGTCTGCAGAATTACTGCAGTGTCTTAAAATGAATGAAAATGATACTTGCAAGGCAAAAGGAGTGCAACATTTTTCTAGGTGTCCATAGTTTGTATCTCTTACATTCCCTTCTCATATCTAATTTTCGTGAGCTACCAGTCTTGACTGAATCTTCCCTAGGCATTTTATCTCATTTTCAGACACCGTTTCCTTTATGTTCATATTACATCACAGCATTTAATATTTTATTAAAAGACACAATTACAATAAGTACAGCTGTTCTGTCTCTTAGTAAGCACATAACTTTTGACTGGTGAGAGCGGAAGCATGTAGATGTACTAGCGCCTTGAACACTCAGGAGGGCTGTAGATCTCAGCCGAGGTTGTACAGAGGAACAAACAGTATTTGTCATATTGGTGAGTTGGTTGAGTGGAGACAATTAAAGAATCTTGGTTGTGATGTCTCCTGGCTCTGTGATAACAAGGGTGTTATGAGATTAGATTAGATGGCGCCTGCAAAGTGTTTAACACAAAGTCTGGCACATTAGGTAGGTGCTCAAAATAAGCAATTGTGGCTTTGCTGCTTCTGGTACTAACACTGTAACAGCAACATGCTAACACTTCTCCAGTTCTATCTTATAACCAGACATTTGCTAATCAGCTTTGGCCTCATCAACAGAATGTCTTAGACGACCTCACCACTTGAATCTTTTATAAGCGAACTGGTCATTTCTTAAGTAAAATGTCTCCATTCCTTAAACTTGCTCCTCTGTTTATATTCCCAGTTTTGGAATAGGCACCAACTTCTATCCCAGGCCAGGCCTCTGTTCTCTTCATGTAATTGGATCTCCTCCTGCCCCCAAATCAGAAATGAATGCCCATCTATTTAGCACACCCTATGAAGCTGCAGCCTTACGAGTCTTTTAATTCAACCCTTTATGTTTCTGCTAATGCCTTAGATCGCTCATAAAACCTGGCTGTTTGAGAGTGCCAGGTAGGGTTATATCTGCGATCCCAGTGTGGCCAGCACACTGCTTGGTATATAGAAAGCACTGAAGTGTTTGCTGAATAAATTAATACAGTCTTAGCCACATCTGCACAGCACAGCAGAGCCTAATTTTCTTGTTAATTCTCAGCTTTCAAGTAAGAAATATAGCAAAGCACAGCTGTAGCTGGAGCCTAAATGACCCTCTGGGGGATGTTCTCTTGTTGTTAGGCTCAACCATTAGCAGTAATTTTGCTGTAGTAATGTTTGCTCTGGTAAATTCAGGGAAACTAAATGGTGCTAATCATAAAAATAGCCTTAATTACGCAGTTTGTGTTGGAATTTGTTTACTGGTCTTGAATTTGGTTATGTATATTTTCAGACTCAGTTCTGTGAATGAATACAAGAGAGTTGCTTTTTATCTAGAGAAAAAAAGACCTCAAACTAACACTTTAATGTTTAAAATTCCCAAATCTGCGCCAACCATCCAGATGGCTTTCAGCACAGTATCCCCTTCTCAGCAAAGGCCTCTCTATTTGCTGTCAGTTGACTTCTGTGTGCCCTA